GGGCGAGTATGTTTTGAATAAGTGGAGTTAGAAGTTTAAGTGGAGTTAGAAGTTTAAGTTTTTTAAAAAAATTGCTCTCAAAAGAAATTTCAGTCGTTGTACTGTTGATATTTGGCTCTGTGACTAATGAGTTTGCCGACAACTGTCCCAGGCCACCTGGAGCAATGGTCCCAAATGTGGTACCCACACCAACAGTATCAGCATCCCCTGAGAGTTTGTTAGAAATGCAAATTCATAAGCTTCACCCAAACCCACTGATGAGAAACCCACTGATGGGACCAGAAATAGGTATGTTAACAAGTATGGCAAGTAGATCCAGAATTGCTGATATCCCTGTGAAAAATTTACAAATCAGAGAACCATTTTAGGTACACTTCTTTTTCTCTTCAGTCTTAGAGTTTCCAGTCAAACATTTTTTTTTCCAGTTATTTAGGTCAACTCCTTTTTACTCATTTCCTCCAGTGAAATTTCCCCATACATTTTAAATACAATTAGAGTTCACTTGTCACAGTCTGCATTCCATTCTGGGGTTCTTTGATATGCTGATTGATTTTTAAATTTTTTTCAAAAGCTAAAGTTGAATTATTGTGGTTTGTTCTTGGTAAGTTACAGTCAGGTGTCTACCACCACAGGAACACACAGAATATTTCTGTACCCCAAAACCCTTTGTTGGTCCCTTTTAGTCAACCCCTCCTTTCTCTCCCAACCCTGGCATCCACTGATCTATTTTTCACCCCTCTGTTGTTTGTTTTTTTCTAGATTGTCCTATGAACAGAATTCTGCATTATGCAGTCTTTTTCATTTGATTTTTTTCACATGGAAAATGCATTTAATATTTACTCATGTTCTTCCACAAATCAGTAGTTCTTTTGTTGTTGCTGAGGCGTACTCTATTGTGGATGTACCACAGTTTGTTAATCCATTCACCTGTCGACAGATGTCCTAGCTATTTCCAGTTTTAGTGATTATGAATAAAGTTGTTATAAACATTTGTGAGTGCACTTGTGTGAACATAAGTTTTCAATACATTTGGAAAAACAGCTAGGATTAGAACTTCTGCTTGGCATGTTAATTCTGTATTTACCATTTTTGGAAGGCTGAGGCATTTTCCAAAGTGGCTGTACCATTGTGCAATCTCATCAGCAATGAACAAGTATTCCTATTGCTTTGCATTTTCTCTAGCATTTGGCATTGTTAGCTTTAAAAAAAATCAAAAGGTAATTTTAATAGGTTTGTAGTGATAAATTATTGTTTACTAGCATTTCCCTAATAACTGATATTGAGCATCTTTTTGTGTGCTTATTTGCCATTCTGTATCTTTTCTTATGTCTATTCAGATGGTGTGCCCATTTTGAGGTTCATTGTTGTTGTTATGTTTTCAGTGCTGACTTTAAGAATACTTTATATGTTATGGTAATTCCTCAACCCCCAGACTCTAGCTTTTGTTTTCATTTTCTTAATACTATTTTTCATAGAAAAAAAGTTTTAAATTTTTATAAAATGCAATTCATCAATTTTTTATGTATCAATTATGCTTTTTTTTTTTTATCATATCCAAAAACTTATTGCCAAACCTAAAATTATACAGATTTTCCATTTTCTTCTAAAAGTTTTCTAGTTTCAGATTTTATACTTAGGTCGATCATCCATTTGGAGTTAATTTTTGGATACAGTATGAGTTATATGTCAAGATTCATTACTTCTGCATATGGATACCCAATTGTTTCAGCATCTGTGGGAAAGACTATCATTTCCCCATTTATTTCCTTTGCACTTTGCCAAGAATCAATTGACTTCGTTTATGTGGGTCTATTTCTGGACCTCTTTTCTGTCCCATTCAGTATAATAAAAGCCTAATATGGTAAGTGTCCGGTCATCCACTTGGCCCTTCAACCAATCAAAGCATAATATGCTAATGTTATGCTAAGGCTGTTCAATGGCTCGCCCACCAGGGGGCAGATGCTCTGACTGGTAGGTTAGCTTGCTGCTGGGGTCTAATCAATTGGGACTGAATGAGATGGGCTGAAAACACCCTGGAGCCCTCCTGCAGTCCATGCCTGGCTGGCCAATCTCCTGCATCCCTCCCTGGCCCCAATTGCACACCAGTGGGGTCACTTGACCTGGTCTACACCCTCTCACAATCATGGGCCTCTTGGGGGATTTTGGAGAGCAGGTTTCCGCCTGAAGGCAGAATGACTGGTTGCTATGACACATGCTCAATGCAGGAGCTGCCTCCTGGTGATCAGTGCACTCCAGGGGGAGTGCTGATCAACCAGAAGTCAGCTTCATGGCTGGCAATCATAGTGGCAGTGGCGGGAGCCTCTCCAGCGTCTGCAGCAATGCTAAGGATGTCCGACTGCTAGCTTAGGCCCTCTACCTGGAAGGCTCCTGGACTGCTAGAGGGTGCAGTCCGGGCTAAGGGGAACCTCCCCCCAATGCCAAGTGCACAAATTTCATGCACTGGGCCTCTAATGGATCTATAAGTACCTGTCAACTGTGCTGTGGTTTGTTTCTTTTTTGCCTTTCTGATAAAAGTTAGAATTAGGGATTGCTATATTTTAAAAAAGCTTGATTTTTTTTTAAGCCTCACCTGAGCATATGTTCATTGATATTTTTTTAGATAGACAGAGATAGAGATAGAGAGATAGAGATAGAGATAGAGATAGAGATGATAGAGATAGAGGTAGAGGTAGAGGTAAATATATATATATATATATATATATATATATAGAGAGAGAGAGAGAGAGAGAGAGAGAGAGAGAGAGAGAGAGAGAGAGAAAGAGAGAGAGGAGATGAATGTGAGAGAGAAAATTTCTCAGGTGCCACTCCCATGGATCCCCACTCCCAATTCAGATATGTGCCCTGACCAGGAATGAAACCTGCAACCTTTTGTTATATGGGAAGATGGTCCAATCAACTGAGCCATCCGGCCAGGGCCAAAAAGCTTGAGATTTGGTTGCACTTGCATTGAATTTATAGATAAAATGAGGTAGATTTTATACAAATCATTTTAAAATTTCATTTATCCGTATTTATAGTTTATAACATGTAGGTCCTAGAAATATTTAGTTAAACTTATAAATAAACACTGCACAATAATGATTCAGTTTTGTTTTCCTTGAATGAAATCCACTTGTTCATGCTATATTAATTTTGGTATTTTTTTTTTTTAGCATTTTTGCAAGTATAATCTTTATTTTTTTATTTTTTTGTTTGTGTAATCTCTTTATTTGATTTGGGTCTTTCATACTGTCTTATGAAATGAGTGATTTTTCTCTCCTTTACTATTTTCTGGAAGGGATTGTGGGTATTATATTTTACTTATTTATTAACTGTTGGATAGACTGTCAGTGTAAATATCTGAGCCTGTATATTTCACTTATTAATTTTTTTCAAAACTGTGGATTTGTTATTTTTAAATATATATAAGATTAATTGGGTTATCCATTCTTTTTTTTTAAAAAGAAACATTGAGGCTTTTTATAAAAAATGAGAGGGAAAGCCTAAATCGGTTTGGCTCAGTGGATACAGCGTTGGACTGTGGACTGAAAGGTCCTGGGTTCGATTCAGGTCAAGGGCATGTAACTTAGTTGTGGGCACATCCCCAGTAGGGAGTGTGCAAGAGGCAGCTGATTGATGATTCTCTCTCATCGGTGTTTCTAACTCTCTATCCCTCTCTTACTTTCTGAAAAAAATAAATAAATAAATAAATTAGTAAAATATATATTTTTTAAAATGAGAGGGAGAGAGAGAGATAGAAGCATCATTGATGAAAATCATTGATTGGCTGCCTCCTGCCTCCTGGGGATGGAGTCCACAACCCAGGCACATGGGTGCCCTTGCTGGAATTGAATTCAGCATCCTTCAGTCCCTAGGCCAATGCTCCTCCCACTGAGCCAAACGGCCAAGGCTGGTTATCTGTTTATTCAGTTTTGGTAGTTTATGTCTTTTAAGGAATGATTCCATTTCAGCTGCTGGACATACTAACATAAACTTATTTACAATATCCTTTTTCTTATTTCTTGAGTTAAAAGCCTCAGTTGCTTAGTTTGGAATTCTTCTTTTTTAATGCAAGCATTTAATTATATGCATTTCCCTCTAACTACCACTTTAGCTCTAATCTATGCATTTTAATAAGTTGCACTTACATTTTCACTTAGTTAGAAATATTTTCTTAATTTTCCTCGACACTTCCTCTCTGACCCATGAATGATTTAGGGTACTTGACCCAGGAGCTACTAATAAGGAAGAAGTGGCGCTGAGGGGCATTCATGTATCAGTTGCTTGGGAAATGGCTGCATATTTCTGTCTTCATATTATCATATCAGTATGGCTCCAAGAAATCTGGAGTAAATTAATTAATTTATTTAATCCTCTTCTAGCATAAAATGGCTAATGTTATCTTATAAGATTTTAAAGGTGAGGTAACATACATGAAATAATTGTGGTTTGACACATAGTACATGGTAAATGAAAAATGTGTTACTATGATTTATAATAGTTGTTGGTGGTGTTTTTGTCATTGTTTTATTTTTAGACTTACTTGATTGCCTCTGAGCTTGAAAAGTTGGGACTGGTATGAGGGAAAAAAATATAAAGTAATGGAATGCAAACTCTGGAGATTTCACAGAGATAAGATGTACCTGTTTCTATCATTATTAGTATACTTATTATAGGCTTATAACGCATTGCATTCATTTTCAAGACCCCCGCCATCCACTTTGTGAATCTCAACCTACCTCCCCAGAATCAATGATTGGCATCCCTGGGCATACTTAGCCATTTATAAGTACCTGACAAAGGGTATGAGGCTGTACAATACATGGATGGAACACCAAGTATGAACTCAGGACTCTGCATAATGTCTTAAAACTTCCTCATTCAGCAACATCGCTAAAAAAATTGCTGTGCACACAGAATTCAAAATCCCCTCCTCCCCAGTTACTTTCTGTGGTGTCCTCGGGAATTTGATTGACACTCTGCTTTCTTTTCTTAAACAGGTGGGCTCTGCATTGCCCAGTCGGTGAGAATCCCCCAGGAGCGCAAAGATAGGACCATCGACTTCGATAAAATTATCAAACAGCTGCTGGACACCCCCAACTCCAGGGCCGTCGTGATTTTTGCCAACGATGAGGATATAAAGTAAGGATTACTGGGGACATTTGTTAATATGCATGCTGCAACAAAACCGGTTTGGCTCAGTGGATAGAGCTTTGGCCTGTGGACTGAAGGGTCCCAGGTTCAATTCCGAGCAATGGCATGTACCTTGGTTGCGGGCACATCTCCTATTGGGGATGTGCAGGAGGCAGCTGATCGATGTTTCTCTCTCATCCATGTTTCTAGCTCTCTATCCCTCTCCCTTCCTCTCTATAAAAAATCAATAAAATATATTTTTTAAAATATGCATGCTGTGCCGAAACGATTTGCTGCAGTGGATAGAGCATCAGCCTGCGTACTCAAGGGTCCCGGGTTCGATTCCAGTCAAGGGCACATACCTTGGTTGTGGGCACTTCCCCAGTGGGGAATGTGCAAGAGGCATCTGGTCGATGTTTCTCTCTCATCGACGTTTCTAACTCTCTATCCCTCTTAATTCCTCTGTGTAAAATCAATAAAGTATTTTTTTTTAAATATGCATGCTGCAACTTTAGGAAATGGAAAGTTCCCATTACTGGCAGAGAAAGAAACAGGAGAACAGAGAATCAACTCTATAATCAACTCTATAACCTGTATGTGCTTTCTATCCCACACAAAATTACCAGGAACCATGAAGCTGCAGTGTGTTACTGATCTGTCCTATATTTCCCTCCTATTAGCAGAATAATAGATCTAATCACTTATAAAAAGAAAAAAAACCACTAAATCTTTGCAAGTTTCTTTTATTAAACACTTATCCACATGTAACAGACTTATCCAAAGAATGTTCCTCTTAATGTAAAAGAAAAATGTCATAACGCTGACTGTATCGCTGCAGCTTCCCACTCCATATGCTCAACACCACACTAGCCACATCTCTCCTTCCCAATCTTTTTCTCTCTCTTTCCTCATCTCAATCCTCCTTGGAGTGAAAAATCTGATTGTAATCTCAACTTCCCTTTTTTCCTCATTTCTTGCATTCTTGGACAGCTAACCTCTCAACTGTTTCTGGAACCCAAACACCCTCCACTTTCTTTCTTTCTTTTTTTTTTTTCTTCTTAATATATTTTATTGATTTTGTACAGAGAGGAAGGGAGAGAGATAGAGAGTTAGAAACATCAATGAAAGAGAGTCATCGATCAGCTGCCTCTTGCACACCCCACACTGGGGATATGCCTGCAACCAAGGCACATGACCTTGACTGGAATCGAACCTGGGACCCTTGAGTCCACAGGCCAACGTTCTGTCCACTGAGCCAAACTGGTTTCAGCAACACCCCCCAGTTTCTTAACTCACTGCCACCACCCTGACCAAGAATCCTTATTTATTTATTTACCTTTTTTAGAATAAAGAGTAATTACACGTGATTAATAACTCAGAAACAATACAAAGATCTAGGTAAAAATAGAATCCCCCCTATCCTGTACCCTAGCTCACAGGTTGTCCCTCCCAGTTTCTTGCAGGTTCCTCTGGAGGCGGTCCGTCTTTTACACAAACAGCTACATACTGTGTATAAATTCTCCTCTCCTCCTTGCTAGCCCTCACTTGCCATTTTATCGGTGAGGTCTTTGAATGCCAGTACCTATAAATCTATTCAGTCTTTTTAGTAGCTGTGCAGAATTTCATTTTATATCTCTATTGTAAATCATCTAGCTGTCCCCTATTGATTGACATTTAAGTTTGATGACAGACTTTCCTAACTATAAATAATGCTGCAATAAACTTCCTTTTTCACAAATCTGTGTGCACAAATATAAGTATACACATGTTATATAACATACTAGAGGCCCAGTGCATAAAATTTGTGCATGGGGGAAGGGTCCTTCAGCCTGACCTGCACCATCTCGAGTCCTGGAGCCCTGATACCTTAGGCCAACTCCCCATGGTTCTCTGCTCTCTGCAGGCCCTGGCTGCTCCATGCCCACTGCCCAGAGTCTCTCAGCAGCCCAGAGGCCCTCAGCAGCTGGGGTGGAATGCTTACCTTGTCACCATAGTGAGGAAGCAAGCATTCTGCCAGGCCACTCATGCTGCCCCCCTGGGACCTGGGAACTCTGGCAGACTGGGTGCCACCATCTTGTGGGTATGGGTGCACCATCTATGTGGTAGAGTGATGGTCAACTTGCATATTCCCTATTTATTAGGTAAGATATATGTGTGAAGATATAATAAGATCTACAAATGTATAATAATATACAAATATATTATTTTATATGTGTATAGTCTACATATTTATAAATTCCTAGAAAAGAAGTTTCCAGGACAAAGATAGGCCCCCTTCTTAAACAATATGTGAATATCCTACCGAATAAAAGAGTGATATGCAAATTAGCCATCACTCTGCTATATCTACCAGCCATGCTCACCATCTAATCAGAGCAAGTATGCAAATAAATCCAACCAAGATGGCTACAGCCACAGGGAGCAGAGAGTTCCCAGATTGGAGAGGGTGCAGGCTGGGCTGAGGGACAACCACCCCCCGCCCTGCCCCGTGCACAAATTTCATACACAGAGCCTCTAGTTGCCTTATAAAGAGGTTGTGCAACTAACCCTTCTGCTTATGAGAAAGGGCTGTGTAGGTTTTATGAGATCTTTGCCCTATAGTTTAAAATACTACATTATTGAATTTGAAAGTTAATATCTTTTATTAAGGGTAATTCTAAGGGCCAAGCTTATTATTCCATATTGCTGGGATTATTGCATTATTAGAGGCCTGGTGCAAGAAATTCATACATGGGTAGGGTCCCTAGGCCAGGCTGATGATCAGGGCCAAACTGTGAGGCGACTGGTGGGGTGATCAGAGTCCTCCCACTGGCACCTGCCTTGGCTGGCCTCATGCCACCCACTTGTTGGCCCTGGCCCCTGCTGCCACCACTGGTCACTTCCCTCTGTGGGCTACCAGTGGGGCGAGTGGGGGACCTGCTGGCACCTGCCTTGCTTGGCCTGGGGCCTGGGGGAAACTCCTGCATTGAGGGTCTGCCCCCTGGTGGTCAGTGTGCATCATAGTGACACAGTTGTTCTGCCATTTGGTTGTTTTTCATGTTAGGCTTTTATTATATAGGATCATCATGGCCAGCCTACCAGTCTGTGCATTTCCTTTCCCAGTGTGTCACATGCCACCTCTGAATCCACCCATCTTGCCAGTATTAAGCTCTGATCCTAGGTGTCAGGATGTTCAATGCAGAGTGTGAACCTGAGGTTGGCATACCTGAGGTTTGTATTCTACTTAAATGAGCACTGTCTCTCCTTGGCAGCCGCCCCTCCCCTTCTTGCTTTCAACTTCGGAGGCCTCAGTTCTCTCATCAATACAATAAAAATCCTTCGGAGCAGTTTTTATGGTGCCTCAGCTACCCTGGGAATTTTTCACTCCACACTCTCTCATGAGTGTGTGATTAAAAACTCAGAAACAATACAAGTATCTAGAGAGAAACAAGTGGGCATTGGGCCCACTTGTGTTTCCTCCTCCCAGGTCTCTGCACGTTCTCTTCCACCTGCTATTTTTATTTTCAATCTGAGGCTTTAAATTTTTATTTTTCAATTATAGTTTACAGTTAGTATTATTTTATATTAAGTTCAAGTTGCCAGAAAAGCTGTGGTACATGTATGTAATGGCCATAAAGAAGAATGAAATCTTGACTTGTATCACAGCATGGATGGACCTAGAGGGTGAAATGTTAGACAGAGAAAAACAAACATCATATGATTTTACTTATATGTACAATCTAAAGACCAAAAAGCAAACAAGCAAAAGAGATGCTGAGAGCAGACTGATGTTTGCCAGAAGGGAGGGGTGGAGAGGGGCTGGGTGTCCTCAGGCCCTATTACAGTGCTCAGTACATAGGATCCTATATAAATAGGATCTAAAATAAAGAGCTAATATGCTAATTAGAACTAACAAACAGTAGAGCAACCATCTGGACAGCCATCTGGACGACCTTCCAGACGAAGCTGGGGCTGTGAGGGCTGAGCCCCTGGCGTGAATTTTGTGCACCCAGCCTCTAGTATTCTTAATATATGGCATTCAATGGGTGAATAAAATGCCTACTCAAATGCCCACGATTTAATCATTTAAATACAGGCTCGCCTTTCTGACCTCATGATGTCTTCACAAGTGGTTCTATTTTAATAGTTATAACTCCTCTCCACTCTCCCAGTTCTCCCAAAAGGCATGACTCTGGTCCTCCAACATCTCCTGGTCCCTCCTTCATCATGACTTTTGTTCATGGCGTTTCTTCTCTCTTTCTCTACCTGTTGCAAGTGTGTCTGTTCTTCAAGGTTTACTTCAAATAGCCTCTTCTTTATGGGCACTGTTTCTGATCACCCCTTATTTCTCTCCTTATAAAATGCTGACTTTTTTCTCTTAGGGCATTTTCTTTCATACTTTGTGACTTAGTTATTTCAGAGAATTTTTATTTCATAATATTACCCTGTCTTTTTGCTCCAGGTTTTGTCAACTCATTGATGCCTTTCGTAATCATCTCATATATCGTTTTCATACCCATTTTATACATTTAAAAATATGTAATACATTGATAAGACGTGGTTTTGTGTATATTTTTACTTTTATTTTAATCCTCACACAAGTATGTCTTTTTTATTGATTTTAGAGAGACAGGAGAGAGGGAGAGAGATGAGAGAGAGAAAGAGAGAGAGAGAGAAAGAGTTTTATTTTTAAATTCATCATATATAGCACATAAAAGTTTTACTGCAAATAGCAATGGTGATAAATTTGTTTTAATACTCCTGATCTTCAGGTAATGTGAGGTTTTAATTTGGGATATAAAAATGTATATAATCCTCTTAATAACTGTGCTATTTTTTGTGTGTTGTGGCTTGTTTGCGTGTTTATTTTATATTGTGATTTATAGTAATGATAGCAGTAATGGCTCTTGAGCACAGTAATAGAATTCCGTGCATATATGTGTCTCCCAGAACATTATCTTAAGCACACTGATGTCTGAAGAGTATAAATGACCTACAGTGTTATGTTATTTCTGTTTTCAGGAAATTTACACTATAGATTGGAAATTTTGAGATTTCTTAGAACATTAACTTGAAATACTTTGTTGGAGAATAGCAGTGAGAAGATATTAATATCTAGATTTTGAAACAGAGATAGGTGCTAAATCAGTCATGCATACTAATAATTTGGATTTTAGACAAGAATGGATTCTTTTCTGGAACACTTTATTCTGATTATAAAGCAATTCATAGCTACTTTAAGTCCACTGAAAAATGTGGAGAAGTTTTCGCTGTTGCTGTTTAGTAAAAGGAACTCTTAAGTTTACTTTGCCTCTTACTTATCTAGAAAAATCAAAGGTGAAAGAGAATAATCACAAACTATGATTTTATGTAATCCCTATAAAACTTGAAATCTCACCCTAACTGGTTTGGCTCAGTGGATAGAGCATCGGCCTAAGGACTCAAGGGTCAAGGTTTAATTCAGGTCAAGGGCATATACTTTAATTATGGGCACGTCCCCAGTAGGGAGTATGCAGGAGGCAGCTGATTGATGTTTCTTTCTCATCAATGTTTGTTCCTTTCTCTCTGTAAAAAATATCAATAAATTATATTAAAAAAGAAACTTGAAATCTCAATACTCAGAGATAACCACTAAAAAATTCTGGACTGAGGTTTGTAATATTTTTTTTCTAAACATGTCTGAGTTTTCCCTAACAGAATCAAGATCACAATGAATTTTATATTTTACTTTTAGCAATTGACATTTCACTTTTTTACTGACATTTCACAAATATTTTTAAATGGTTTAATCCTACTCATCTTAACAAATAACCCACACTCTTCCATAAATACGTTAGGGTGAATGTCCATTTTTTTGTATTTATGTCAGTTTCATCTTTATTTCCTTGTTTCATTCCCTGCCCCCACTTTTTATTCACTTCACAATTACCAGCAGCTCCTCAGTGAATTGTTTTTGTTAACAACAGATTGTATATTATTCATATTTTTATATATATTTCAATTTACTTAAGCTGAAATAATACTTACCATTTCTTCCATCCTCTATTCCCTGCCTTTGACATCCATATTTTTCTGTGTTCTTATATTCTAACCCTATAGTTTTAACTGTGTACATTCAGAAGTAAAGGCAAATTTTGGTAAGTTTTCATCACATGAGAATTGAACAGTTTTTTGTAGCTTTTTATTTGACTTTTTTTTTTTATTTAACAATGACTTTTGAAAATTACATGGAGTATATTTTTAATTGCTTTCTGTCCATCCTTTGGATGTGCGGTATTTATGTAACCAGTTCCCTGTTGCTCTGCATTCTGGCTCTCTTTAATGAACCTAGAGTTTTGACTGTATATCAGTAGAAGTGATGCACTATATCAAGTATAAACAATTGATTGTGTGTCATTTTAAAAAAAATAATAAATAAATGTATTTTTTAAAATACGACAAATAATTTTGGTGCAAAACATTGGTCTTCTTTCTCATTCCTCTAAACTATTTTGCTCTATTTTCCTCAAGCCACTTTCATAGTTTTTCTTATTGGTTTAGAAAGTCTCTTTATATATTAAAGCTATAAATCCTTTCACTTACATTTTGGGCATCAGTTATTTCTTTGTGAAGTGGTAGCTTCCTTTTCTTCTGCTTGATCCCTAATTTGCTTGTATTCAATAGCTGTTCTTTATCCTAATATACTTCTTCTCATTTCTTTCTGCAGGCAGATCCTTGCAGCAGCCAAAAGAGCTGACCAAGTGGGCCACTTTCTTTGGGTGGGCTCAGACAGCTGGGGATCCAAAATAAACCCACTGTACCAACACGAAGACATCGCAGAAGGAGCCATCACCATTCAGCCCAAGAGAGCAACCGTGGAAGGTAGGGTTATGTCAGTCTAAGAAATGCTCAGAAAGTGGTTGGTGCCATATAGGGCATTTATATCTCTTTGAGAGTTTGGCATTTCTACAATTTATGTTCTCCTTTCATTTGAAAAGAAAATTTATTTCTAAAAGAAGACACTACAAAGAAAAGGAACTCTGGTATCCTGCTTTGTGTTTCTTTTCTGAAGGGCCAGGTCTCCAAAGATTCCTTAAAACATGCTTTGCACATTAAAGAGAACTGTATCTTCTCACTCAAAAGCGATCAAATATTAGCATTTCTTTTTACTTTGTCTCCATTCCAATCGAACTAATTATTCTCCCCAGATGACTGCTTGGTTTGTGCAGGCCTTTTAAAAACAGGCTGGGTTGTGGTTCTGCCACTCTGGCTTCTGTGTTATCTGGGGAGGTAAAGATCCACGCGTGCACTGGGAAGCTCTGAACTAATTTCATCTCCCCATTCATGTCTGGGGAAGATTGCCTGTCTTACACCCCAGACCAACATTTGCAGGTGGGCACAAGAATGCAAGACATTTTAAACTATCTCAGCTCCCTTTCACTCCAAAAACCTGAGTATCAGTGGTGTGCTTTGTTCTTTGCAGAACTGGTAAAACAGGATGAGGGCAAAATCTTACCCTCAAAGCTTACAGACCTGAAGGAAGATATCAGAAAATAGTCATTGACTGTGAAGCATCCTGACACAATACAAAATAGAGGCCCCAGGGCACAATGCCAGTACTGTGGAAGTTCCTCTAGGGCGGTGATGCTGTGGTTGGGGAAGACTCCCCAGGGGAGGGGAAACATAAGGGAACTTAGAACTCATCAGGCAGATAATGAGAAGAAGCCACTGGAGAAGCTTCCACCCCTGGAGATAGGAACAGAGGAGTGAAGAAGCAGGGAAGAAGCTGTGGCAATTGCAAATACTTCACTCTGCAGCGTGGTCCTCAAATTCTCCCAACTCTTTAAACATTTCCCCTTTGCAGGACACTGGGAAAATTCTTCCCTCTTCTAGAGTACTGGGTAATACACTATTTGGCTAACAGACTCCTTTCTATCCTTTGGGTGTCAGCTCAGACATTAATTTTCCATGCAAGCGAGCTGTGACCATTCCACGCAGTCAAGTCTATTGCTTCTACAGCATCGCACATACCTCCTACCATTGTAGGGTCTCTAAACTCGTCTCTATGTGGAAATGTATCTGTTATGCACCATGATACCCTCAGCTTCTAGATCTCGGACTGGATAAGGCAGGTGCTCAAACAGCTTTTTAATTATTTGTGTGCCTGGGTAGGATGGAGGAATCACAGACCACCTGAGAAGCTGCACAAACATGGCTGAAAGGTAGGCCAGAGTTGTATTGTGAATGGTCTTGGAAATTACACTGTGAAATTTGTGCTTCTTTTTTCTGAAGGTCTGAACAGCATCTGTGGATATAAGTAGGATGTGATCAGAGGGTGTTACAAGGCTCACTTGGGTGGGTGACTGTGTGGAGGAATGACACATCAGAGTTGGGTGAGAATCTAAGCAAAGCAACAGATTAAAATGCCTCTGCTGAGTTCCTCTCTTCCTGAGCTGTAGATGCCACACAGACATGAATGTCCTCACTCCATGATTACTGGCCCCAGCTTTAAATATTCTAGGAAATTAGCCGAAACCAGTTTGATCAGTGGATAGAGCGTTGGCCTGGAGACTTAAAGGTCCCAGGTTCGATTCCGGTCAAGGGCATGTACCTTGGTTGCTGGCACATCCCCAGTGGGGGATGGGCAGGAGGCAGCTGATCAATGACTCTCTCTTATCAATGTTTTTAACTCTCTATTCCTCTCTCTTCCTCTCTGTAAAAAAAAATCAATAAAATATATTAAAAAAGAAATAAAATAAATATTTTAGGAAATTAGTATCTCAAGTTCTATACATTTTCAAAATACATTTTTTTATATACTTAGGGATACACAAAGTTATTCAGTCAGATACAAAACTGCATCATGAATCTGCCCGCCCCCCAAAATGTGGTCCCCAAACATTGATATGGGAGAGAAATGTTATCAATAAAAATATCAGAATGTATTGAATCAGCAAATCTTCATTCAATGCTTTCCACCCTACCCAGATAAAATAATGATGATTTTCACCTGGCTGTTTATAAATGCCATGACTTCTACCTACCCATATTTTCTTCCGTATTGCTACAAAGATTTGTTCACTGACACAGAAGATGGAATATCTAGATGGTTACTATGCATTCACAGTATCATACTCCTAAGGAAGTGAAAAAAATGCACTCAATTACACAAATTTAAAAAAATATATATTTTATTGATTTTTTTACAGAGAAGAAGGGAGAGAGATAGAGAGCTAGAAACGTCGATGAGAGAGAAACATCGACCAGCTGCCTCTTGCACACCCCCTATCAGGGATGTGCCCACAACCAATGTACATGCCCTTGCCCAGAATTGAACTTGGGACTTTTCAGTCTGCAGACCCTTGCTCTACCACTGAGCCAAACCGACTTCAGCTAATTACACAAATATTTTAACAAAGCTGTGGAATATATCAAACAAAACTGAGTGGAGCACACTGTATATGGGCAAGTAAGCCTTTCCCTCTTGTCTATTTTTCCCTGTCTTCCTTTTTTTGTGGATGTTTCATATTGAATTCTAATGGGGTGGAACATCACCCAAATGCTCATTATATTGCTACATCCCTTTTTCTTCGTGGTATGTAATGCTGGGTCGTCAAATGTGACTAGAAAACAAGCCAATCAATAATCAACAGTAGTTCGCTTTAGATCCATATTTTGAACATGTTCTGCAAACATCGGATTTTTTGACTGGTCTTTTCCGTATCTGCATGAATAATTAACGATAAATTGCCTTGGGCCAAAGTGCTAGCAACTATATTGCCTTTGTGAGACTAGTGTTCATCTTCTTTTATCTCCTATCCGTGTTTGTTCTTCATTTATAGGAAAAAGGGCCTTCGTGTTTGCTAGCCAAGGGTGTCGTTTATTCCCCCTTTCAATTTAACGAGGATAGGAACTGTGCCCAGAAAGGTCAGCTGTGGCTCTGCTGGCTGCCCGGCGTGCAGGGATCTCAGAATGTCTCCAGAACTTGGCAGATCTCCTCCAGCTCCTAAGCCAAAACAATTCTGTCATTTTTAGTGTCTCTGCATTGTCTGATGAGCCAAGAGATCATTGGCATATTCCTCTCTTGTGTTGCCCCATTACCTAGGACTCTCCTTATCCTCTCCAGCCTCCAGCAAGTCCACAGAGCCAGACATGCCCAAGTTGCCATTAACTCTTTGTCCTACAAAGCACTCTGCTTCTCTGAGAGTAGTGTCTTAGGCATTTGCTAATGACAGCCAGAAAGGATGACAGACCAGTGTCTTTTCATCCATGCCATAATCACTAACATTAGGAAGTTAGGATCATGAAGGGCAAGTTTTCAAAGCGGACCTTGATGGCTCTGTCGATTGGTGATGATTTTTAAATGGGTCCCTGGAGCAGCTTAGTTCCTGAACTAAGTCTAGGATATATATGTGGGCAAAGACAAAAAATGCTCTGACCTGACATACGAAGATTGGTTAGTTCATGCTTTTTAACTCAAGATTGACATGAATGCTTTCTTCATTTCATACTAAAACCAGCAAGATTAAAGCTATGAAGAACTGAGCCAAAACATTGCTGACTGCAATGTAGATATGTCCTTCTGTGGTTACCTGGGATGTTCCTCACGTGTCTTAAGGTTTTGTTAGATGAATGGGAGAAATGCACGATTGCCTTGAATCATAATACTGTTGCTAAGCAATGCATATGCCTTTTAGACCTGCTGCCTTGTTTAATGAGAGAGTTTTTAGAAAACTGCCTATTCCCTGTCATGACAGTTTCAGTTATTGGGTCTTTCATAAGTGCTTATAAGCTCTATCTGGGTATTGGGCATGGGTTTAAGCACTGAGATGTAGCAGGTGGCAATCTAGACCCACGTCCTGCCTTCATGAAGTTGCTGTCTTACTGTGGAAGTGGCAGGTGATAAAAAAAAAAGAGACTATAAATAAGGTAATTACTCTGAGGTACATTTCCTTAAAGACCAGCTTGTCAGTTATGGACATGCCCAGGAAGAGGAAGAGGGGCCAGGCAGCCAGAATGCTCTGTGGGTCCAGAGAAGACTGGGAGGGTGGGATGCAGGCCACTAGCTCAGCCTCTGTAGCTGGTTCTGGGTTCCAGACACATACTCCTATCAGATCTTTCACTACCTGAGTCTAGCAAGGTTTCCCATTTTCCTTTTTCTTACTGATCTGGAAAATAACAATTTTCTTCAAGATACATAAAAATTAATCTTTTCAAAAGACTTTTAGCCTTTCCCAGAGTTAGTTTACTCTGCTACACCAGTCTAATTGCTCCCTCAGTCCAAAATGTGCTACATGCCCCATTTACAGCATACTCACTTGTGCAGGTAGCACTCAGTGGATTCTGAACCTTGAGGGCAGTGCCTGCAGCCTGTGGCTTCCTTCTGATTTTCCATCTTTGATCGCACAGCCTTGGTATTCACTAGAGGATCTAGCATGAAGTAAGTTTTTGAAAAGAGACATTTATCTTTTCTGTCAATTATATCTGAATGTATTATATCTGAATATGGAAAGGACTGCATGTTTGTATGAATTTTTTCAGGATGAAGACATTATTTATCCAAAATGGTTTTCTCTTTGACATTTTGTTCTAAGAAATTTAGTAGAAAGATGCACTTGACCCTCCAATTCAGTTGTCTCCTGAAATTTCAGATGTGGATTCATACACTTTTTCTTCTGCTCTCCACTTTCTTTGCATTTTTTGAGGAACTTCCTATTCAGGCCTGGCACAATGGCTAAATTAGGTGACTTGTTAAATGCTACAAACATAAAAAGCAGAAGGTGCGGCTAAGGCTGCCTCCGTTAGTCTTAGCCATGTTGCTATACTGTGTCTATAAATAGAATGGACTGAAGAAGGGAGGGTGGGAAGATCAGAGGCATGAG